CCCACTCATGAAATCTAAAAAAAAAAAATCACACTAACTGTGCCTGACATCCTCCCTCTCCCTTGGTTTTCTGACTCCTTAAAATGTACAGTTATTTGTCACAAGGGGGGACACTGGAAATAAGGGAAATGAAGTGATCAGGGAAGGGTTGCTCACAGTTTCTCCCAAAATAGGAGCTAAGGACACTCAATGAAATTTTCAAACTGCACAGTGCAGTAGAAAAAAAAAATGAATTCTCCACTCTCAGTGTTATTTCTTTAAAACCATCACTAGAGGATGGTGCAAACCTCAGCAAAATAAAGCTGAGTGACCAGCAGGTCAAGGGAGGTGATTCCAGCCCTCTATTCTGCTCTTATGAGATCCCACCTGGAGTGCTGGGTCCAGCTCTGGGGCCCCCAACACAAAAAGGACATGGAGCTGCTGAAATAAGCCCAGAGGAGGCCACAGAGCTGCTCCAGGGGCAGGAGCCTCTCTGGAGCCAGGCTGGGAGAGCTGGGGGTGTTCAGCTGGAAAAGAGAAGGCTCCAGGGAGACCTTAGAGCCCCTTTCAGCACCTAAAGGGGTTCCAGGAGAGCTGGAGAGGGACCTGGGACAAGGGCATGGAGCGATAGGATGTTTAGCCCTCTCAAAAGAACGTATTTGCCTTTTCATTATTCCTTAAACTTACTTCTTCTGAAGACCCAAGAGCCTCTGTTGATTGGTTTATCTCACTGGTACATTCCCAAAAGAGCTGTGTGTTTCTCCTGGAAGCAATTCTCACCTTCTCCCCTTCCCAGTCCTCCTCATGCTTCTCATGGCTTACTTGCCAAAACTCATTGGGGTAAAGTTACACGGTGGGTGGCCAAGGCAGTGGGAGAGGGGAAGGACCCTTCCTTGTCCTCCCTCACAGGGTGCAGGAAGAAGAAAAAGAAAGCCCAAGAGGGAAGGCAGCCCCTTCCAGGATGAATTCATTAAGGAATTTTGCAGCCTGAGGCCAGGACTAGGATATAATGGCAGGGTGGGAGCTACAAGTGTTCACAAGCTGTGTTGAGCTCAGAACTCTCCGTGTTCGAATTGTTAAGGCTGGGAAAGAGCTCTGGGATCACTGAGTCCAACTATTAACCCAACACTCCCGTGTCCACCACCAAACCATGTCCTCAGGCGACACATGCACACGGTTTTTGAACACCTCCAGGGATGGTGACACCACCACTGCCCTGGGTGGCCTGTTACAGTGCCTGACAACCCTTTCCATGAAGAAATTTTCCCTGATATCCAACCTAAACCTCCCCTGGCGCAACTTGAGGCCGTTTCCCCTTGTCCTGTCTCTTGTTCCCTGGAAGCAGAGCCTGACTCTTCCCAGCTCCCCCCTCCTGCCAGGGAGTTGCAGAGAGCCAGAAGGTCCCCCCTGAGCCTCCTTTTCTCCAGGCTGAGCCTCCCCAGCTCCCTCAGCTGCTCCTGCTGCTCCAGCCCCTTCCCAGCTCCCTTCCCTTCCCTGGACACACTCCAGCCCCTCAATGACTTCCTTGCAGCGAGGGGCCCAAAATTAACACAAAATTCCAGGTGCAACATTATAACACCCTATAGGTAAGAACATCAATTTCCATGGGCTCCACCCTGCTCTTGCAAGGACAGATACAACAGAAACATCAATTAATACCCAATTAATGCCCACCCCCTCTCTGTGCATCCACTGTGACTCTGAAATATCATCTTCATTAAAAAAACCTCCCCCAAACTGCCACGGGCCCTCTGATTTCACTCATGCAATCCCATCTACTTCAGAGGGATTACATGGATATTACGGAATTCAAGCCTGGGCCCCTTTAATTGTTTAGATAATTTGTAAACAGTTTTAAAGCACCACAGTGGAGCATGTTTTTAAAACCAGGTGGAAAACCCCTTTCCTGTTTCCCAATCACCTAAAAGAGAATTACTTACGTGGCTGTGAGGCAGGGGTGGAGCATGCAAAGCTTTATCTCCTGGTGATTTAAATCCCGGGCAGCCCGTTCCGTTTGGAAACGACACCAGATGGGATTCCAGGGTGCAGCTCAAGGTCATCCAAACACTCTGCACTGCTCTGAACCGGGAGTGTGATCGCCACGAGCACACAAAGACTCAACAGACATTTAACACACTGTCAGACACCAAGGGATCTTCAGGAAAAACACTTCAAACGCTGCTTCCCCTCGGGCGCAAGGACACAAACTGCCCTTGTTTGGAAGCCACAGAGCGGGAAGGAGTCGCAGGGATTTCATAGGGAAAGTGTATTTGTGCTGTAGGTTTGTAAATCTGTGATTTTTAAGGCAGATGGTTCATTTAATAGCCTGACTCGAGACAAGTCACTCACCTGCAACTGGAGATGAACATTTGCTCCTACAGAGCTATTCCACAATATCCTGTGTGCTGCACGGTGGATAAACCATTCCCAAAACAATCCAAGACCTACAGACCAATCTCACTTAGAATTCCCTTTTTTTTTTTTTTTTAGCAGAAACCGCTTATGCTTGAGTGATAATTTTACTTGATGGCAGGATTTAAGGTTTGTTTAAATCAAAAAATGCCACTGGTGAGCAGTGGGTGTCACCCACTCTGTTTTCACCAGGCCCTGATGCACCGTGAGCTCCAGGTAACACCGTGACCTCCACGGTTGTGGCACCTGAGCACCATCCCAGCGTTTGACTCCTGCAGGGAATACACCTCTGGAAGGATAAAAAGCAATGTTATGCTCTCAAAAGAAAGGTTGGTGATCACTTGTAACAACCTGTTAGGGAGGGGATTGTCCCCCTCTGCTCTGGTGAGACCCCACTGGCAGTGCTGCCTCCAGCTCTGGAGCCTCTGGCACAAGCAGGATGTGGAGCTGCTGGAGCAAATCCAGAGGAGGCCTCAGAGATGCTCCGAGGGCTGGAGTCCCTCTGCTCTGGAGCCAGGCTGGGAGAGCTGGAGGTGTTCACCTGGGAAAGAGAAGGCTCCAGGGAGACCAGAGAGCCCCTTCCAGGGCCTAAAGGGGCTCCAGGAGAGCTGGAGAGGGACTTGGGATAAGAGCCTGGAGAAATAGGACAAGGAGGAATGGCTTCAAACTGCCAGAGGGCAGGGTTAGATGGGATATTGGGAAGAAATTCTTCCCTGTGAGGGTGGTGAGGCCCTGGCACAGGTTTCCCAGAGAAGCTGTGGCTGCCCCCGGATCCCTGGAAGTGTCCAAGGCCAGGTCGGACGGGGCTTGGAGCAACCTGGACTAGTGGAAGGTGTCCCTGCCCATGGCAGGGGTTGGAATGAGATGAGTTTTAAGGTGCCTTCCAACCCACACCATCCTATGAAAAACAACTGGTTTACGCTGCATTGAGACACAAGAGCTTATCTAACATTTCTTACCCTATTTCAGCTGATCTCTTTGCCACTTCACCCCTTCCCCACCTTAAAATTACCATTTTCCAAACATTTCAGCACTACACAGCTCAGATCACCTGGAGCTCCTCTTTGTCCTGCCCAGGATTTCTTGCTTCTCTTTCTCAAAATCAGTATTCCAAAGTGAGGAAAAAGACCACACTAAAGACTAAACCAAACAAGGAAACACTTTCCTCTGTCCTTTTCACCTCAGACCAAGGCAATTAGTCTCTCCATTAAGACAAAATCAGTAATTCCAATGAAATCCAGTTTTTTGTGGAACAGAAGGTCTAAAAGACTAATGGATTAATGCACTGAGCCATCACATCTGCTGCCATGAACTAATATCCCACTTCCAATGCTAAGGAAGTGATGTGGGAATGTGTATTTGGGAAAGAACATTTAGCCAAGTGGTTAAGCTCAGCCCAAGCCCCAGATTTCCGTGGAGATCTGTTGAGTGTATCTTTTCACCAAGGAGAGGAACCTTTTATGTATCTTGAGGAAATGGAGAGACCTCAAATCACTTGGAAATTTCAAAATATTTGTTCCTCCAATGACTGTTATGTAAACCCAGTGCAGAGTCTTGCAGAGGAATCGTTCCCTATGTAGGTCAGGAAAAGGAAAAGGCAAACTCGTGCCCGAGTCTTGCAAGGGACAAAGGCAGATGCAGAAATTGAAGTCTATTTTTCATTTTCCTGCCTGCTTCCCCTCGAGCAGCACCGGATTTTTCCAGATGTAGAGAAAAACAGCATTTGCAGATATGTACAAAAGTTTATTTTACAAACAGCGACTACTTTGGAATAACAAAATTGCAAAAACATAGAGCAAAGTTAGAAAACCAGCTCAGGGGGATGTTTTCTACCTGAAGCACAATTGAACAGAATTCACTAAGTGCCCCCAACCCTTCCCTCACCCCCCTCCCCAACCTGATGGAATTTCTTTATAAAGCTTTAATTCAAGATATGAAAGACTTTAGTGGCATTGCAGTAATTTTTGATAACTACAGTTAATTGATTGACCATATTTCTATTACCTTTTCCTGACCTTAAAAACTCAAATCAGCTCTGATATATGACAGAAGTCCGATTCTGGAGCTATTTTTTCCACTAATAAGTATCGAATGGTAACAGTTATATTTGTATATTTTGTTACACAGCCCTCTAGTTCTATTTTCTTAGTAAGGGACAAACAAGTTACATTTGTAATGAAAATGATGAAAGTGCAACAAATGTTACTGAAATATTTGTTCAGGACTCTCAGATGGCTCCTGCTGTTAGAAACCTGCCTCTAAATGCATCCTGCCTCGAGCAAGAAGTGTATTTAATGTTAAAAGGCATAAGAAGCTTACAAAAGATTGACTGGAAAGGGTTACATGCACACACTTTGACACTAAACTACAAGTGTAGGAAGGGGGAAAGTTCAGAATTTTGGGTTCTCATAGAAAAGTGAAAAAACCTCTGTGGCAAATTCAGCTTCAGGAACGTGCACACAAACATCTTATTCAGCTGCTGATGGACAGAAATGGAGGGAATCATCACAGTCTGCAAACTTCCCTTTGAACTTGCTTTTCATGTTTCACAAGTGTATGAAAAAATTATCTAATTTGGGGTAGTTTAATTCAATCAAAGAGAGAATGAATTGATGCCTAAGCGAGAAATAACCACTTTTAATTTTCAAAGCTGTTGGGGCCTGATGAGATCACACACACCAAAAAAAAAAAAAAAAAAGTCATTTCCAGTATTTGAAAACATTTGAGAGAAATGAAAGCATCTCCAGATATTACAGAAAGTCAGTAATGAAAACTATTATGATACAACAGAGCTCGGTAGCTCTAATCAAACAATGTTAAGTCTGTTGTGTCACCACAGACCCCAATTTGCAGGTCACATTGTGCCATTAAAAATCTGGTTCTCAGTACACAACTTTCTAAACCCCTGAAAAACTTCACAAATTATTTTACAGCAACTCAGTCAGAATATTGCAAAACTTACTCAATGGTCTTCAGCTTAAATCTATTTATTTTTTTGCAAATACCTGGAACATGGAGTCATTTTTGGTAATAAACTTTCCAAGTAAAGTACTGTCCATGCTTTTTATCAGGCAACCCAGTATTTTTGTAGTCCCATCCTTTTAACAATCTAGAGTTCAGTATCTGCAGTATCAATCTCTGATATTCCCTATATGGAACATAGGATGGGATACACCTACAGGCATTTCATAAAGGAACCTCTATAGTTGGTTTTCTCAAAAAATTATCAAAAAGTGTTTTGGACAAACTCATGACACACTCAATGCTTTAACAACACCCAAAATGTGGTGGAGGATGCCAAGCGCTGTAATAGGAACTGAAATGAAAGTCAAGAAGTGTTTGGAAACACTTTTTTAGTCTCCAAAGGACATTGCTGTTTATCACAAAATTCATTTTTGAAACATAAAAAGTTTAGACAAGTTGGACATTAAGCTCAAAACTCATTCACATCACACTTTTGCTCGCTGCTTGTCAGTTTGACAATTCCCACTGTGCATCATCTCACCTTTTCCAGCAGAATTCCTCAACCTCACAGTTCAGGAAGGATTAAGACAGAGTGGCAGCTTTGTTTTCATCGCCTCTATCCTGCACAGAACGCAATAATCGACAATCAAGACAGCACAGAATGCAGATTCCAGCATTAAAAAAAGCATTTTCATAAACTAGAAACGGCAGCCTTGGTAAGAAATGGACTTCACAGTTTAATAGTTGCTCACACACATTTCCCAGGAACAGGCACAAAGCCCTCAAGGTGTTTATTTATAAACAGACTCTGTTGCACCCGGAAAAGCGGTGGCAGCAATTCATCTAAGAGTCATCCATGGCTTGGAAAAGCTAATTCGAGGAAACAAAACTGCTGGGTTGTTGTTTTTTTTTTTTTTTAATTATCCTGTAAAAGTTGCATTTCACATAAAAAAAATTAAAAAAATCAACTCAGCTGTGGAGCTCAGTCCTTCTCTCTGTGAGCACAGAGTCGAGCGAGTTCGCCGGTAAATGGGAAAGTTTCAGCGAATTCAGCAAACAACCTTCACTTGTGACACCCTCAAAACAGTTTGGTTCTGTTGTTTGGTTTTTTTTTTTTAATGTAACACTGAAAAAATGATGAAACACAGTTTTCATCCTCCCAGAAGTGTTTTCAGCTGTATCTGCTGCTCTCACTGGGGCTCCTGTTGTTGGAGTAGCTGCGATCGCTTTCGCTGTCGGAGCCGTAGGACCTGCCGAGAAAAAAGGTTCAAAAATGCCTCAGAACTGCTTCAGATTTGAGCTTCAAATTCAAATTTACATCGTGTAAAAAACATTGTTAAGATGGACACAGATAAGAAAAACAAACACAAAGTCTTTTGCAGGGTGGTGTTTCTTATAACTGAAGAATTCGCTAAAGGATACTCAAAATTGAAATAATAATTAACTTTACGTGGTCTTGCCCTGGATAACTCAAGGCAAGTTCTCTGTAACTTCTTGCTTTTTCTTTTACAGCTAAAAACCATCCAAAATTAATGTTTTTATAAATGCTAATAAGCTGACTGAGAAATATATTCTAACACATCTGATTTCATATTGCAAGCATCTCCCAACTAAGATAAGTCCACAAATCCTTGCTTCATACATGTTGTATTTTCTTGTTTGAAGAAGGATCTTGAAAATTAGGCCCCAGAACCACAAGAACAGAGTGTGTGTGTCTCTGCAGTGTGGAAATTGTGTATTAAAATGGTTTGGCTTATCCAGAAGAATCCCAAGCTCAGCACCTGGCCAAACATCAACACAGAGTCCAGATGGTTTCAGACAAGCCACAGGAAATATTCCAATTACACAGAAATAAGTTTTCATTAGAGATTTTTTTTTTAGCCTCCTGCCCGCAAAGGAAGCTTTCTAAACGAAAGGTGAGCGTATCCTAATCCAATATTGCTTCTTTGAAGCTTCTCAACATAATAAGACAATGATTTTCCAAGTTTATTTCCACATTCTTTGTTAATCTAATTAATTTCCCCTCAAACACAAGATGAAAGTTGTCTTGTGGAAATGGGTGAGAGCAAAACCTTTAAGAGGTGCTATAAAGTTGGGAAAAAAATGAGTATGAGAAGGGTAGAGGATGAAAATTTACAGCAGTTGTAGAGACCTGTATGATTTATGACTAATAGGGGACATATTAAAAGGTATAAAACCAATCATCAGTGCTATTAAATCTATATCTCTCTATATCTCCTGTTCCACCTCCGATCTCTGTGAAATGTGCTCACTTGCACCTCTGTAAATCCCCTGGACAGAGCAGAATAGAATTTATTCCAGATTCATCAGATTTGCAGGTAAAAATATTCTTTCAAAATACTTTCTAGGAAGTTAAAAATTAAGTCTGGATTTCAGTGCAATTTTTTACTTTCCCTTCCAGATTGTTTTAAATCCATATTTGCAGTTGAAAGCAAAAAGAATTTACCATCCAATGGAATTCTCTGCATACCAAGCAGCTTTTAATCCATCACAGGGCATTTGATTTAAATCTTGAGTTAGTTTACTGTGTAGTTTTTAAAAATCACTTAATACTATTTTAAAAATCAGAAATCATGGAATCACAAAGGTTGGAAAAGACCTGTAAGACCACCAAGTCCAACTGTTAACCCAGCCCCAGCACTGTCTTCTCCATCAAACCATGTCCTCAAGTGCCATTTCCACATGTTTTTTTTAACATTTCCAGGGATGGTGACTGGGAAAACGTGAAAATTTTGAATGCATTCATACAATGAACTGGAACTCAAATCTTTCTTATCCTACTTCTTCCCCATCCTCATATTTAGCACGTGAGGAGTTCTGACTTCCTCACTCACACACACGCTTGGATTTTAATTGGTTTTAATTATTACTTTTTTATGCTTGGGGGAAAAAAAACCCAGCACATTGGCCTTTCTTAAACATCACAGGTATGTATTTAGCAAATTTTTTCCCCACAAATCCAGTGCCAAACCACACCTGGATCTCCGATCGTAGCTCCGGGACCGTCGGTAGCTGTCACTCCTTTTACTCCTACTCCGACTCCTGCTGTAGTAACTGTCATATGTGTAGGACCTACTTTAAAGGGAAAAGAAGGCAACTGTAAATTTATGATTTCTTGTCTAAAATGCTATTTTATATGCAGGCTCAAATGACATTTACAGACAGAGATGAAGGGCTGGCTAGAAATTACTTTTGAAGGCTGTGGCAAACAATTCCGTGCTTTAGAAAAGTTTCAACGCAGCAACAATTATCTTCAAAGCAAAAGTAAAAATGTCAAATTTACTAATCTAGAAAAGACACAATAAGCATCCATAAAGTTTTGTGGTTTCTCTTTTTTGTAGATGCTGTAAAAACGTTGTTTGCTAATTTGAAAACCAGCAAAGTGATTCTGTTTATAACTCAATTTTATTTTAACAAAAAAGGAGGATGTGTTCACTATTTCTCATCTCATATCATCACCTGTAACTGTAATGCTGGGATAATTTGGTTATTTCCAGCTTTTAAGTGCCTTATATTGATTTTGCTTTGATTCAAGCTGTTACAACGATATTATAGTTTTAAGTACCACGGATCCCTGGAAGTGTCCAAGGCCAGGTTGGACGAGGTTTGGAGCAACCTGGGATAGTGGAAAGTGTCCCTGCCCATGGCAGGTGGGTTGGAACTAGATCATCTTTAAGTTCTCTTCCGGCCCAAACCATTCCAGACTCTATGAGATAAAGGCATTCTTAAAAAGTATTCTTATAAATATGTATTTATATATGTATTTATATTATAGTCTATATTATAAAATACGTAGCATACATTATATAAATTATTCTTATATGTCATGTAATTATATACTAAAGTCTATTTTAAAGAAATATAAATAAAAAGTATTCTGACTTCAAGGCATTTTTATAAGAAGTCCATTTATTGCAAAGTTTGTACACAACTATAATCCATACCTGGATCGACTGTGATGACCGTAAGAACTACTTCTGGATCGGCTTCGGCTGTAGCTTCGACTGACAGAAACAAAACCACAGAGACATCTTAAGTTAATAAAATACAAGGGAGCAGGGGGAGAGGGGGGAGCAAGAGGAGCACAACATGTCTTGCAGTATCTCCAAACAAACTCACCTACGACTCTTGTAACTGTGGTAAGAACTGCTTCGACTCCTTGAGCGATCTCTGCTGTACCACCCTCTGCTTCTGCTTCTCGAGTAGCTTCTGGACCTACAGTGAACAACAGGACAGAACAGAACTGAAGAGGAAGCAAAAAAAAGTTTTAAATCTTTGTCTTTTAAGATAAATATTTATTCCATGCTTGCCATTAAGTTGATCACAGGGCTGGAGCACCTCTGAGAGTTGGGGGCGTTCATCCAGAAGAGAAGGCTCCAAGAACATCTTGGAGCCCCTTCCAGTGCTTGAAGGGGCTCCAGGAGAGCTGGAGAGGGACTTGGGATAAGGGATGGAGGGACAGGACAAGGGGGAATGGCTTTAAACTGACAGAGGGTAGGTTTAGATGGGATATTGAGAAGAAATTGTTTAATATGAGGGTGTTGATACCCTGGCACAGGTTGCCCATCCTGGAAGTGTCCAAGGTCAGGTTGTTCAGGGCTTGGAGCAACTTGGGATAGTGGAAGCTGGATGGAATGACATGGTCCCTTCCAACCCAACCCACTCTATGATTGTGTGACACTGTGCTGTTCAAAAGAAAAACATGAGCTGAGAAAGGAAAACATGCCTTGAAAAGATGAAAACTTCCAAGTTCCCAGGGCAGGCTGCGGGAGCAGCACCAGCTTCTTACCTGTATGAATATGTAGAACTTCGAGATCGACTTCTGGAGTGACTGTAGGATATGGACCTTGTTCTGTGTCTGGATTTAGACCCAGATTTACTCCGTGATCTACTGAGGCTCCTGGATGGACTGTTGTCATCTCTGCTTGGAGATTCCTCCTCACTGGAACTTTCCTGGTTCCTGGGCCGCCGATTGAGCCGGGCTGTTTTCCTGACCTCATCAAACAGAGACCCAGGCCTTACTTTATTCTTGGCTTTTATTTCAATCCTTAAACCTGCTGGTTTAGGCTCTGGTGCTACTGCTACACTCTTAACCTCCGTGGCTGTACTAATTGCTGCTGGTTGTAGGTTACCAACACCCTGCAAAGGCTTCCATTTATTGTCTATCATATTGCTTTGCAGATTTTCAGTCATTTCACTTTTCAAACCACGGTCTTTAGCACCAGACAGAGAGTTGTTTTCTTGCCTTCCTGTTTCTTTTTCTTCTTTAATATGAATCAAGTCTCTAATGTTGTTTCCTAGTTTGACAGCATCTTGCTCAGGGGTCTCAACCTGTAGCTCCTTTTTTATAGCAGCACTTAAAGCCTGGGGTTTAGGAGTGAGAATGACAGGAGACAAAACGTCCACATCCACCTTCCCTGGCGAGTTACGATCCGGAGTACAGATCTCCATGTTGTCATCTGTCTGAATAACGTCCTCCAATCCGTTCTGGTTACTTTCTTCAGCTTGTTTAATCTCATTCTTGCAGGCAGAAACGTTTATTCCTGAGTTTAAAGCACCAGTTGAAGCGTTTGTTTCAATGTTCTCTTTATTAAGGTTGCTGCGATCTGGGGAGGCCTCACCTGTGGTGTTTTTATCTAAAAGGTTTTCACTCCCACACGACTTTTCACCGTTTCCCATTTTATCTGTGACTATTTCATCCTTTTCATAAACTTGTTTTTTATCCTTTATGTCCCTGGTAAGCTGCTTTTCTTTTTTATCATCCTTGGCAACTGGCTTTTCATTTATCTCATCGTCCTCTTCTTCACCAAACTCGAGGGGGGGCTGCCAATGAAACATCTCTTTTCTTTTCTGGACTTTGTGTTTTTTCTCCTTTTTCCCTTTGGATTTTTCTTTTGGCTTTTTGGAATGCGATTTCTTAAGTTGTTTTTTCAACCCATGCCTGTGTTTTTTTGACTTGCCTCGAGTGTCTGCTGAGCTGGAACAGGAACTGTCGGATTCAGAAGATGACAACTGTTTGTTTGTCTTCCAATCAGAGTCCAAAAAGCCTTCAGAGGAATTGGATTGTTTCTTTATCCTTTTGGTGACACTGAGCTCTGTATCAGACCCTGAGGTGGCCTCTCCTTCTTCTTTACCAGAGGAGGGTCTGGAATCCCCCCTATTATGCCTTGCCTCTCCTCTTTCGGAATTTGACTCTGAGTCCCATTTGCTGCCTGAGTAGGATTTCCGTTTCGTTTTTGCCCCTCCTCTGGGTTCCTCCAGAAACTTCTCCTTCCCTGCTTTCCTTTTGGAGTGATCAGAATCCCGCTCACACTTGGACTTCTCCTCCCCTCTCTCAGAACTCAAGCTATTTTTATCCTGTTTCTGAGCATCCCCTTCTAATGGAAAACGACTTTCCTTCTCTGGGACCGCTTTTGCTTTGGCGGAGCGCTCGCTGTCGCTGGAGAAGTCTGAGGATGACAAAGTGTCGCTCTCCTTCAGTCCTTGGGAAGACTCATCGTAGTCTTTGGGATGTTTGTGAGGCAGGGGACTTTCTGAGCTCGTCTCCTGCCTCAGTTTGGAGCCCCGAGCTTTCTGATCGCTGGACGTGGATTTCCTTTTGTTCCCGTGTCTGTCCTCGTCGCTGAGGGAATAGTAAGACGTGGACTCGCTGTACCCCGACCGGTCACTGCGGTATTTGCTCGGTGACGGGGACCTGCCAGAAGAGTGGGATTTTGTCCTAGAGCTCGATGGACTTCTGGATCTTGTGTAGGATCTGGAGTAGGACCGACTTCGGGAGGACCTGCTCCTGGACCTCGGCCAACTCTCCGAGCTCCTGTCGCTGCGGCCTTTGGAATACCCACTCCGATCGCTCTCCGAGCTCCTCTCCCGCTTGCGGTAGGAGGAGGAGGTGTTGGCCTCTTTAACGACCACCAGGCTGTAATTAGTTTGGGTGGGTATTAAATGGGTTGTTTTAGCTTTCATTTCCTGAATTCGCTCATAGGATGGCTTCCATGGTTTCTGCCCAGGTTTCCACCTGGAAGGAGGTGGACTGTCGCTTAAGGGTATCACAGGGAGGTTTTCTGGGACAACTGGTGGGACGACGACTTTGTCACTGGGCAGAAGAACTGCTCGGACGGGCTCGGCTGCCTTGGTCAACTTACTGTCATTTAATCGGGTTGAAATATTCCGTGGAGAACTGGGAACAGTCTTTTGCTGCCTGGGGTTAGAACTGGACCTTGACCTACTTCGAGAGCGTGATGATTTAGAGGCTGATCTCGATCTAGAACTTCTTCGGGAGTAAGACCTTGATTTAGACCTGGATCTGGATCTGGATCTGGACCTGGACCTGTAGTAAGAGCGAGACCCTCTGCTTGATAAAGATGATGAGCTCTGATCTTCTTTATCAGACTTGGACCAGTCTCTTCTGGATGAACGCCTAGAAGACAAGGAAGAAGAACGAGATTTCCTCTCACGATCACAAGATGACTTTGTCCTCCTGTGGAAGGAATGAGAAGATTCCACGTCTGATGAGGCCGAGGCTTTCTTTTTTTTCGTTTGCTTGTGCTTCTTGAAATGCTTCTGCTTTTTAGATTTCTTTTTATGCTTCACCTTCTTCTTCTCTTTCCTGTGCTTCTTGTGATGGCTGGAGTACCTCGTGGTGTTTAGATCAGCATAACCATTATGGGACCAGGACCTGGATCTCCGGGATGCACTTCTTTCATCCCATCTGCTTGTACATGGGTCACTCAACCTGGAAAACAAAGCAGAAAGCCCCACCCTGAGTGGAAATTCTTTTAAAACTTCAGATAAATTAAGTATTTTTAAACTTGATTTTACATCAAGATATAAGAACCTGACACACCCACACACTTTACTACCAGGCAATTGTGTTCTGACTGAGCTTCTTACACTCATTTTAAGAATTACATCACTACCAAGAGCTACTTCTCTCTAAGAAATAAATCAGCCAACATCAGCAAATTTTGCATATTGTAGAACCCGTGTGAAGAGATTTAATGTTTTAATTACCCTAGTCTGCAGGACTTTGACCTCTACAACTGCAGGATTCTCAAACCACTTTTACATATTAGTATTATTAAATATTAAATATTACTATTACTAACATTAACATTGTTGTTATATTATTAGATATTAGTAAATATTTAAAATTTAAAACATATCTCAGTATATAAAAAAGAACCACCAGAAACATTTGCAATTATTCAATAATGGTTATACATAGTATTTTTCAGTTTTCCTTTTGAGGTTTCTGTCTCATAATTTGACAGAAGCTCATATTTAGTATCAAGTCAAATTTTGGAGAGCTGGCTTCCATCTATCACACAGTTTGCAATTGCAGAAAGAACATATAATCAAAACAATAAAGGGTCGGTGGATTCAGTTGTCTCACTTGGTACCCAAAGAATCCATATCACCCAGTTTGGGGCTAAAGGAAACCATGGAAGTTTCAAGGTTGGAAAAGACCTTTAACGTGACCAAGTCCAATGTTAACCCAACACCACCACCTTGTTCACCACCAAACCTTGCCACAGAATCAACCCGGTTGGAAAAGACCTCCGAGATCATCAAGTCCAACCCTTGATCCAACCCCGCTGTGGTTCCCAGCCCATGGCACTGATGCCACATCCAGTCTCATCTAAAACACCTCCAGGGATGGAGAATCCACCCCCTCCCTGGGCAGCCCATTCCAATGGCTGAGCACTCTCTCTGGAAAAAATTTCTTCCCAATATCCAACCTAAACCTCCCTGGCACAGCTTGAGACCGAGCCCTCTTGTCCTACTGCTGGTTCCTGGGAGAAGAACCTGACCCCCATCTGGCTACAACCTCCTGTCAGGGAGTTGCAGAGAGTGAGGAGGTCTCCCCTGAGCCTCCTCTTCTCCAGGCTGAGCCCCCCCAGCTCCCTCAGCCTCTCCTCATAGGACTTGTGCTCCAGTCCCTTCCCCAGCCTCGTTGCTCTTCTCTGGACCTGCTCCAGCCTCTCCATGTCCTTCCTGAACTGAGGAGCCCAGAACTGATGTCCTGAAGAGCCACATCCATGTTTTCTCTGAACGATTCCAGGGATGATGACTCCACCACCTCCTTGGGCAGCCTGTTCTTTACAATTTGTTCCATGAATTTTTTTTTTTCCCTAGCATTTAATCTAAACCTTCCCTGGCACAACTGGAGGTCGTTTCCTCTCGTCCTGGTACATCCACGTGGTACATCTACACAACATGTTAAACACTGTGTAAAAAAAACCCAGATTATAAAATTTATGATAAGGATCTTACTTATCTCCTTTGCTCCACTTCTCCCCACTGGGAGGTCGGTACGTCCTCAACCTCTGCATCTCCTCTTTCCAGTGAGGAGGGGTCTCACTGCTCTCGTCATCCTCGGATTCGGAACACGACCGGGATCGAGGGGGGGTGTGGTATCGCTGTGAAAGCACAGAAAAAAACCACATTATGCAACTTTCTTACATAGCAAACTGTGTCTTTTCATACCCAAGATGTTTTACGAAGCCTGAGGAGGGCCAGAAGCTCACTCTTTTTTTCCTAAACATAAAAGGAAGGATCAAGGAAGAGGCCATGGATTCCCAGTTACTGCAGATAACTACCTTTTTTATCAGGATGTTAAAGCACAGATGTTTCACTTCAGTTAGCAGACACTTAACTGCTCATATGAGCAAAGACAAGCCCTATTCCAAAGTTACTGCTGTTCAGCTCTGCAGAAATGAGAATCCAGTTTAAAACACCTTCCCAGCAACAAAAAATAGAAAACCAAACAAAAAAAAATAAACCACTAAAACTCCCCAAAAGTCTTTCACAAAAAAGAATAAAGAAGCTTCATATTTAAAGAATTATGCTTAGGAACAGCATTTAAGTAGGCAATAAGAGCTACTTGTGCAGCAGAGGAAAAAACCCTCTAATATAGTAAATTGTTATTTTCCACTACCCAGTTGGATACACACTCAGGTAAACTCTGTGAGGACATCAGATGCTCCTTGACTCAATAAAAAACACATCTGGATTTCACTCAATTATTTTGAGCCACTTTTGAAAGCAAAAGAGAGGGGAAAAAAAGTGTTGTCCCCCAGAATAAAATCAGAAAGATGCATGTGTTGATTTATTCAGTTAATTACAAAAGTCTTTAAGATACCCTGTTTAACTAAAAAAATATAAGGATATTCTACCATACAGAGCTAATTTGGGTTGAAGGAATGACTACTTAAAAAAGCTTTTACAGATGACTGGCACATAACAGGTTGTGAAGGTATCATGGATCTCCCTAATTCTCAGTCTATTCAGGAGCATCTTGGAATCTACAAATAAATATTTTGGAAATTATCAAACAACTTCACCCCAAAGAGAAACTGTTGCTGATCAGATTATTAGAGATGGCAGAAAAATGTGTTTCTCCAACTAAGTGCTGGCCCTAAATGACACCTTGTTCTCATTCTTCACTTTTTTCAAGAGGGTGTTAAAATGATGAAAAACATCAGAGAAACGCCAAAACCTGGCTAAAGCCAATTCCACTCAGCTTTGAGTTACTTTTCCCTAAATTTTTATTTACATAAATAAGCAAAACCGTTCTGGTTTAAAGGCTTTAGTGGATCCCACGAGTGTCAAATACAAACACGAGCTGTCAGATGCAAAGGCAGCTGCCACATTTCACGTCAAGGCTGGAAAATTCGGGTTGAGGCTCAACCACTCCACCACCTTGGTCCGTGCTATGGCATCCAAGCTGTTCATTTTGTGGCTTAAAATAATTGTGTCATGGGGGATCATGGTGGAAAAGTACTTCCCAAATCCAGTGGCTGTTATATAAGAAAGATCACACTCAGAGGAGTCTCAGTTTAAACCATCCTAATGAAGCTTTTCATTAGAATAACTATAGATATATTGATATCTGTATATACACTTTTCTTTTTGAGAACTTCCACTTGCAAAAACATTTGGCAGGACCAAGGCTTGGTTTGGCTTTATGGTTCCCCAAATGCCACCTGCTAAGCTGATCCAGGAAAAGATTCTCCAGGGGAAGAATATGCTGCAATCCAATAGAATCAAATGCACAATTACAGCAGCTTCTCTTACTTTCTCCCCCTCGTACTGAGTGAAAAACAACAGCACAGCTGTGCAGCGTTTTGGGCCTGGATTGGGAGTTATTAGAGAAGAAAAACTTTTGAATTATATATCAGAAAGGGCTGCAGACACTCAGGACACTGCTGAGCAGCTTGGTGTGTCTTATGTGTTGCAGTCCTAATGCTCAGAGAAAACACAAGGAAATCCAATGAACAGGGAAGAGGAAAAGCTCTTGTCACTTCTCACTGCTTTGGATCTTGTGGCTTGCGTGGGATGAATCTGCCTGAATTAGTTTCCATCTTTTAAAAGAAATAATCTCATTCTTATGTTTGGAGGCTTCTTGTGGCTGAGAATTAAGCCTTTGTTTTCCCAAACTTTAAGAGAGTAACAAGAAGGAATGAAAACCTGCATTACAAAATCAGCTACCTGACAATATTTCAACCTCCTAAACTAGAACGCAAATAAATACATGTGAATAAACACGTAAATAAAGCATCCTACAAAGCCTCCAAGGAAAGTCAAAGCTCAAGGCCAGAGAAGATACTCTAGGTGAGAGGAAAGAAATATATAAATAAATAAAACTGTCACATACTATTGTGCCTCTTCCTTTAATTTTTCGTCCGGATTTTGAGACTGATGGTTTCTGGTCAGTCAGAACTGGAGTGGCATCAAGAAGCTTCCTACATAAATTAATAAAATATGAGCTTGCATGGAAAAAAAACCCCAGTTAACTTAACCTAATTTTAAGTTAATAATGAAAAATATTCATCATCTTATTCATTCATTTTGAGGCAGAACTAAGAATTCAGCGAATTTTCCAAGAAATGAGACGATTTTGCAACAAAAGGCAAATCAACATGTATTTGTTTTCAAGCAAATGTGCAGCCTGATGTCTTTACACATAAATAAATGCTAACAAAGGACTTGCAAAATCCTGTTACAAGAGGTTAATTTGTGTTTGGGGCAGAAATCCTGAGGGCAACATGGGCAGAAGAGGTTCAGGATCTCAGTTCAGGACTGCTCACAGGTTCTAAAGTCTTCTTGCTTAGGAAAGAAGAGGGAATTCAATCCTCCTTTTTACAGTTTGTGTAATATCCTCAAAAGAAATAGTTGCTAAATCTTTGGAAATATGAGTGATGTTCCAAGAGAAGACTTACAGGAGACTAAGCCATTAACTGAAATTAAAATAAACAAACAAAAAACCCCAACAAACCCCCATGTCCTCCAAGCACAAACCAAAACCAAATAAAAACCACCTCAAAAAACTCTCCCCAAAAAAACCCCAAAAACCAAACAAAAAAACCCCAAATCCTCCCCAAAAACGAAAAAAAACCCAAACCACAAAAAACCCCAAAACAAACAAAAAAACCCACAAAACCAAAAACCCCCCAAAACCAACCCCCAAAACCCTCCTACAACCAAAAGACCAAAAACACCCCCCAAAACCAAGACTCCTCAAAACCTCCCAAAAGCCCCCAACCCCCACCAAAAAAAACCCAAAAAAACAAAAACCCCTCCCAAAAAACCCCCCAAAACAACCCCCCAAAAAAAACTAAAAACCCCCCCAAAAAACCAACAAAAAACCCCCCCAAAAAAACCAACAAAAAACCCCCCCAAAAAACCAACAAAAAAAACCCCCAAAAAACCAACAAAAAAACCCCCCAAAAAACCAACAAAAAAACCCCCCAAAAAACCAACAAAAAAAACCCCCAAAAAACCAACAAAAAAACCCCCAAAACCCCAAAAAAACTAAAGAAAGAACCAAAACCTCAAAAAAAACCCCCCCCAAAAAAAAAAACCCCCCAAAAAACCCCCCCCCAAAAAACCCCACCCCCCCAAAACCCCCCCCCAAAACCCCCCCCCCAAAAAAAAAACCCCCCAAAAACCCCCCCCAAAAAAAAAAAAAACCCCACCAAAAAACCCCCCCCCCAAAAAACCCCCCCCCCCAAAAAAACCAAAAAACAAAACAAACAAAAAAATCAAAACCCCAAACCCCAAAGAAAACCCAAACAAGCAAACAAACAAACAAAAACCCCAGAAAAAAACCCCAACCCAATCCCCCCCCCAAAAAAACCCAAACCAAACCCGATTTTTGAGATATCTGGCACTGCAATGTCTTAGCTCAGAGTCCAAAACCAAGGAAACTTGACAAAGAAACAACCCAACTGCAATTTAGTGGAGGTGCAAAACACAAATTGAAATTATTCTCATGAACTCCTGACTTCCTTTGCAGCAAAAGAAGAATATTTTCTCTCAGTCTAACACTGATGAGTCCTAAAAATCCGGGTGACTGATTTTGAACCCAAGTTTCTTCTTTGGTCTAAGAAAGATGAAAAAAAAATCACCTCTCCCGAATCCAAGTTTCCCTTGCAATTAAATATTTGCTGTGGTTTTACACTGGCAAATTTTTGTCTGGAATTCTTTTTTTTGTTTGCATCATCTATAATCGAGTTTAATACATGTGATCCTTGAGGACCAAAGAAACCAACTCATGAGATGGAAGGAATATTACAGAGAAAACTGTAAAAAGGACAATTAAAAGTTGGAATTCCGGCCACCACCTGCTCCCAGTGCTAAGGAACAGGGATTTTAACAGGAATATTTCATATTTCATGCACAGTTTTCAGCAAGGCAGAATAAAAAGCTCAGAGTTCCTTACGGTTCAGGCTCTACATTGACAACAGGCACATCTCTTCTGAGCAAAAATCTATTTTCAGGCACTGGGGGAATTTCTTCAGGACGTACCACGGGCTTGTCCCTCTTTGTGCTCACGTCCACTCTGTCTGGGACATCACTCTTGTCAGAAAGGCTGCTACAGGGAAAAGCACAGTCAGCTGTCAGCTGGGAAAACACTTCTTTTCCAAGAGAATTCCAAGATAAGCCCACCTGATGCATCAAACCTAAAGATGGTTTAACAACCCAACTGTGTTTAACAGCCCATTTCAGGCTAAAGGAAGGATGCCCCTTTATTACTGGGGAGAAGGTTCAGTCCTTGCTTTGCAGCAAATGATTTTGCTTTTAATTTACAACTTGCCATGAAATATTTTTGAATATCATCAAATATATATCAAGATTCTGTTATTTCCCAGAAGTCTCACTTTAACAAGAGTGTACTGAGCTCCAAACCCTTTCACAAGCTGAGATCTCATTTCAATGTTGCTGTAGCTTCTGCCTACAAAGATCTTGAATTCTTTCCTGGAAAGCTCTACTCAACCAGCTCAGCTTTAGGGTTTTTTTGCTTGTTTGGTTGATTAGTTTATAGTTTGTTTATAAAATCAAGCATCAAAATGCAAACTTAAATAAAAGCATTTTCATATTCGCTGCAAGTGAATTCCAAGCCAAGCCCACCCCAAACCTAAAGATGGTTTAACAGCCCATTTCAGGCTAAAGGAAGGATGTTCCTTTATTACTGGGGAGAAGGTTGAGTCCTTGCTTTGCAGCAAATGATTTTGCTTTTAATTTACAACTTGCCATGAAATATTTTTGAATATCATCAAATATATATCAAAATCCTATTAATTTGCCTGAAGTCTCACTTGAACAGCTGTACTGAGCCCCAAATACTGTCACAACTTGAGATCTCCTCATTTCTATGTTGCTGTAGCTTCTGCCTACAAAGATCTTGAATTCTTTCCTGGAAAGCTCTACTCAACCAGCTCAGCTTTAGGGTTTTTTGCTCGTTTGGTTGATTAGTTTAGTTTGTTTATAAAATCAAGCATCAAAATGCAAACTTAAATAAAAGCATTTTCATATTCACTGCAAGTGAATTCCAAGCCAAGCCCACCCCAAACCTAAAGATGGTTTAACAACCCATTTCAGGCTAAAGGAAGGATGCTCCTTTAGTATTGGGGAGAAGGTTCAGTCCTTGTTTTGCAGCAAATAATTTTGCTTTTAATTTACAGCTTGCCATGAAACATTTTTGAATATCATCAAATATATATCAAAATCCTATTATTTGCCTGAAGTCTCCCTTTAACACAGCTGTACTTTTAATTTACAACTTACCTTGAAATACTTTCGAATATCATCAAATATATATCAAAATCCTATTAATTTGCCTGAAGTCTCACTTGAACTTATAAAATCAAGCACCAAAATGCAAACTTAAATAAAAGCATTTTCATATTCACTGCTTGAAACCACAGGAGAACTTCTCATATTTCTCCCAAATTCTTAAGTTTAAGGGACTAGTCACCGTCTTTGGTTTGAGCTTCGCTTGCACCTTGGATCCTCTTTCCTCCTCTCCTCCTTCCTTCGTTTTCTGGACTGTTTGGTTTTAGTTCTTCTCTTCCTCTTTCTCCTTCTGATCCTTTCATTTTCAGCTTCACTTTCAGATGAGGATTCTGAAGAGCTGGATGCACTGGAGGAGGACTCGGAGCCTTCGGAGTCAGAACAGACTTTCTTCTTCTTCTCCAAAGCTTAAAAGATATTTCAAATTTACACTGTGTATATGGATTTACACAGCATAAACCAGACCATTTTATATATATAAATATATATATATAAATGTTGATTCAGAGGAGCTTTGTGACCTTTTTCACAATGAGTTGCATTAAAGAATCACTATGAAAATACATCTAATTGTGTCCAGCCTAAATCCATATTGGGACATACAAATAATTTCCAGCAAAGGCAGAGTACACAGATAAGCAAAGATCATTTGTAGTAAAAAAAAAAAAATAGTTTCTTTAAAAACAATGCACAGGTTGCAAAACAAAGTTTAAGAACAAATTAGTTGCAGCCTCAATTGTATATTTTTTATTTCTAAAACTCTGTCATTCTCTCCTTTCTGCATCCTCACACCTTTACACAACCCACACTGTTGACTTGCTCTAAAGGACATAAATAACAACATTACACTCAAGGAAAGTCAAAAATTAAGTAGAAAATGTAAACTTGTAACACTCCACTGTTTCACAGCAACTGTCCAAACATATATTTAAGGGAATTTATATTCCATGAATACTTATAAAAAGGCAGAGTATGTTCACTCCATATACTGCTTATATTAACGTTACATGATCTTAAAATAAACCTCTGCAAAGTGCACAAAATCCAACTTCAAGAGAAGCATGTTTGTGTCTCCCTCTTTCAAATTCAGAAAAATAACTCCTAATTGTGAGTTTGCCACATGAATCTCCAACATGAATTACAGAGAGCAGGAAGCAGGAACACATTTTGCAAGGGACAAATTTTAGGTCAGAAAACCTTTTTTTCCCCCTTCGCTGTGCCTTCCTCGCCCACACCAAGACTGAAGTTGTAGAGGCTTGTAAGAATTGATTGAGATTAGAGGTTTACCACAGTGATTTTTAGATGTTGGAATAGTTTTTATATTCTCTGAGAGCAATGGGAAGATCCCTTAAGTTTGGGAATTCCGTGCTCACCATCCTTGGCTGATCTGGTCACGAGCACCCCGCAGTCGATGACCCGAACGTCTGCGTAGGGTCGACTTGCAGTGTCAGTTTTGAGGTTTTCTATCTGTTCTATGACTTCAAAACCAGAAATAACCAGTCCAAAGACAACATGGACACTGCAGAAAGAAAACATTTAAGGTACAACACATTTAGAAATGGCTCCTCGTTATTTTTCCAGCAGATTTCAGGGTTAAATGATTATTTTTCAACTGATTTCAGTTAAAAAAAAAAAAAAAAAATCGGTGTGAAATAGAAACATTCAGCTCTTAATGTGTTAAAAATAAGATTTTATTTTAAAGTACTTTAACTTAAATGCTAAGATTACATGCAGCATAAACCAGAGATCCACTCTGCTCCAATCTGAGGGAAATACTTGATGTCAGTCTACTCTCCTCTACATGGGCAGGGGGAACAGACCATAATCCCCCATCCACCCTTCCATTTTAGCAATTTTGGGCAACAGACATCAAGAGTCCATATATAAACATGACAAAAGGGCAGTTTTCTCCAGAGAAGAACAATTTATAGGTCTCTCCAAGCTCGGAATACAAATTCCCCACTGGCATTGCAGGGACAGTTATAATTCAGGAATCCTCAGTTTTGTTCTATGGTACCACAATTTCTCTTCCCTTCTTTTACTTGCCCCATAAATTTTGGGGATGAAAACACGCCTCAAAAAAGGGATTCAAAGGACTATTCAAAGATATTAAACTTGACAACTCAACTCATTGATTTATGGGCTGAGGGCAGCAACCAGTTTTTAAAGACATAATGTTAGGATTTAAGGCAATCCAAGTTTTTGTCCAGCTTTAGGAAATAAGCTGCAACTTGAAATTTTGATGGAATTCAAACTTTTGTTTCCCAGCTTGTTCTATTGTATAATCTTTCCCAGAATTAAGAATTTGTTTGCCCATTGTTGTCTGCTTTCAATGTAACATGTGAAGGCTTAAACCCTTCAAACTTTAGCCACCACTGGAGAAAAGAAACTGGAAAGGATTCTTACCCATCGAGATGAGGAGCAGGTTTTGTTGTTCTGTTTGACAAACAGCAAGATGGGAAGATGGTAAAATAAAATAAAATCAGGGATTCAGATGAAGTGAAAGAGGAGAATGACACAGGGGAAAAAAAAAAAAAAAGAGGTGAAGGTAAGACAAAAAATAGTGAAAAAATCCAGTTACATACATGGAATTCAACGAATTAAAATTATTAAAACTACAGATTGTACAAACAGGCTTTTTTAAGCTTTTACATGAAATCTGTCTGAGGTTTAACTAACTGTGCATAATTGAAAGTTGTACCAAGTATCATTTTATGCATGCAGTAAACAATTTTCAAATATGTATCTTTAAATACTCATTTAATATAACTCTACAATTTGTAATCACAGAGAAGATACAATTTGGCAACAAATAACGGGTAACTAGTGGAATTGAAATGGTTCTGAGGTTATTAACTTCTTAGATGACAAGGTCACTTTAAAGTCACGTATTTTAGAAAAGAAGAGTTATGATATGTGAGAGATTCTCCGCTTCACCTCCCTCCCCCCACTTCCTTCTCCCTCTCCATGTACCTGCTCGGCCTCAGGAACACAAAGCAACAGTTCTGCCTTAAATCAGCCAACACTTCAGCTCATGAACTCCCAAAAACCCACAGCAGGACATTAGGTGCCACCCTACAGTTAAATCCAGACTCCCTCCCTATTTTCCAGCTCCTCCATTCAGCCTGAATGGGAAATGCAACTGCATTTTGTACCAATCTGTTTGATTCTACGACCTGGTGTCTTTATCCTATTTCAAACCCAAAATAAAGTTACTTTTCCAAGTGAGCCTGAGCTCCTGCTGCACAGGGAACCCTCCTATCCAGACAAACATCAGAACCTGCTCAAATACTCGGGGAGAAATAAAGTAGAAGTCCAGATCATTTGCAGTTGAAGTTACTTTAATATGTGAAAACATCTTTCCTCTCTCTCCTCCCAAGCATTATTTTGCTTTTCAAACCTTCCTCCAATGAGCTCCCCTCTCTCCAAATAAAAAAAAAAAAATCAATCACAGATGCTTTTTCTAAATTTACAGTGGCACAGATTGGGTAGGATGAAGTCAGTTTTTCAGTGCTCTAATAAAATACTGCTTCTTAACCACGTATCTTCCCTGGAGTTTTGAGCTATTAGGTCACAAAACACTGCAGTGCTGGAACACATCCCAAAAGATGGAACTGTGGATCAGGAGTGTTTACACTCCTGATTTGTTTTTAAGCTCCAAATGCCAAGACCTTCCACTTCTGTAATGCTAAATAAAACAGAAAACTTCTTTGGTTTAACACAGGGGAATAAATGCTATTAAGACACTATTAAATTTCTCAATAGTTAGGGGGTGTTCTTTGGTGTTCCCTTGCTAATAAGGGGTATTCCTACAAGGAGAAAAATCCTTGCAGCTTTTGAATTTCTTTAAGCAATAGTTAACTGTGTTAACAACCTGTTGTTAAGTAAACACTTTAAGTGGGTTTAATTATAAAGCTGATTTAAAGGAGTGAAAAAAAGAAGTGGGTTCCTTCCATGAACCCAATGGTATGGAAGATTTAGTGTTTGGGATTAGCTGGGAAAGGCAGCAGGTTCAAACAGAGGGGCTGTGGAGGCTGTAGCAGCGTTTGAGACCAATTAAGTAAGGAACTTACTTTAGACTAGGCCTTACTGAGCAAAGAAAGGGAGAGTTGGTGCTTAAAACCCATGCAGAGGTTCCTCCCATTAAACTGGCAATTTGAGAGAGAAAATGGACAAGGTTTCTCTCCTTTCATGGAGTGAAAGCACAAGGAAAAGTGTTATCCCAAGGGAAAACCTTTCAGATGCACGACAAGGAGTTGGGAGACCGAACAACTTCCCACAGGAAGCAGATCCCCAAATCCTTGCTGTGCTTTTGAATGTTTTCTCACCTCAGTGTTGGGGCTGGAACACGACATTTATTCTGTGAATGTGCCCTTTAAAAGAGCATTTTAAAAAGTTTCCTGCATCAACCCTTGAACCTTCAAACTTCCTCAGGAGCAAAACCCACCCCCTGCCTTTGCACTACGGAAACCTGAAGTCATGGTGAGTTCCTCCCCCAAAGTGATATTTATTAGAACATTTCTATACAGAATTTCTATAATTGAAAACATTCAACATTTGCTTTATAACAGATACAATTATCCAAGTTATGTACAGCAGGATCAATACCTTTCTTCACTCAGGTTTAAATGGGTCTAAGATACCGCTGAGGAGAAAATCATCTTTTTTTGACAAAAGCATTTTATCACCCACCCCCCCCCCCCCCCCCCCCCCCCGAGAACTTCAGGCCTAACAAAGGGTTCAATGCACATAACAATATGATCAGAAAAACAAGAAAAGATAAAAACAGAAAGAAAAGGAAAGGACACAGCCTTAGAGGAATGAGACATTACCTTTGGAGCGCACGATGTAACACTGTTTCTGTAAATTTTACACAAAAATGGCAGAAATAAATTGTAATACATTTTCAGACAAAACTGTGTCTATGTTTTATCAAATACAAGGTTAAAATTCATATTAATCAAGTTGTATGCAGAACAAGGATGCCTAAAAGAGGGCTCTAAATTTTCTTGAGAATACAAGGTATTTTGAAAACTAAAAGTTCTCCTTAAAAAGCAAAAAGAAAACTACAGACAAACCCTGCTTGTCACACTATTGCAAAACCAGTCAGGAAAGAGAATCCTCCCACTCCCCTCTAAGTCTCAACCCAGCAATGCCCAACTTGAGGTAGGTGAATATTCAATTTCTGTGGGTTTATTCCCACGTTTGCAGCTTCCCAGGGGTTCAAATGCTCCACTGAACCCCCTCCTAAGGAGGAATTTCACAGGCACAGCAGAGCTTAAGTGTTTGGGTTCCCAAATCAAAGGTGTAAAGTCTGCAAGGGGACAACTTCAGACATTTCAGACTTGGCTGACATCTCCCTTGCTCTATGAAGCTTTTCTAGAACTAAGAAAAATAAGTGTTTTCTTTTTCATTGATTGCTCCTGTCCAGAGTTCCACAACAACAGACCCACTGCAGAGGGGGGAAAAAAAGCCAAACCACCTGCCCCAGTTCATACTGAGCTTTAGGGTCTGGTCTAATTCTGAGCAGCAGCAATGGTTTAAAAATGCATTAGCAGTTGAGTTTAGCCACATCCTCCTCCCCCTCCCCAAAAAATAAACTACAGGTTATTAATTATGCCTCTGCTTATTCGAGCACTGGAATGATCTTTTTGTTACTTATTTTGTTACTTATTACACATAAAAGCATCCTGGGAATGTTTTTACATCAACTTTTCCTCAAGCCAATGGGACCTGCTGGTGTGATAAGTGCACATGAACCACTACTGCTCAAAGATAATGCAACATCAGCCCCTTCCATTTGACATTTTTGGGGTTTTACTTGAATAAACTGTTCAATAGTTAGCTCAAAAGGTATTTCATCCACAGTAAAAAAAAAAAAAAAAAAAGAAATTATTAACTGTTGATTAGAAAAATACCTGTTTTGGGACACCAAAAAGACATGAACTGCTTTTAATGAGCTGGTAATATTCAGAAATAATTTGTAAAATCAGAACAAAAGAGTCCTCACAACTTATTTTATCCTTCATTTAGCAGATCAAAGTGGTTAGTTTGTTTGAATTTAGTAACTAGGCATGGCACCACGCATTTAAACATTTTTAAAACAAAAAATAGCTATTTAGTTCTGAGCAAGCAAGCAGAGCTTGAGAGACACATTAAAACCAACAACACCCTCAACATGGAAAAAAAAAATAAAAACCTGGCAGTAATAGGAAATCAGGCTCAAGTTTTAAATAGCTTTTGAACACAGAGGCAAGAATTTGGCCTGATAAGGAACAGTCCAGACTCCTCTCAAAGCTGCAATGGGGATGTATTCTTCAGCAAGCTATAGAGTTAAATAGTTAGGCAATAAATTAATTATTATACACAACTTCCCAGGGAAAATAAAACAAAGAGGTTGGTTATTTTGTTTTGCTTCCTGTTGTTTCTTTATTGTTGATTCTGCACAGGCACTTCTCATTTTCTACTAAGTGTAGCTTGACAGGTTTTGGATGACCATGGAAGCAGAGTTAAGCCCAGGTGAGCACTTGGAGGATCAAGAGTGTCATTAATTTTTTTTTTTTTAAGAACTTAAGACACTCATTTTCACAAGAGTTGCACTTATTTTAGTGGTGACTTTCCTTCCTGGCAGGTTGGGAATTGTCAAATGCACAATGGAGCTGCTCCAGAGAGACAAGAGATCAGATCAGCTCCAGTGAGAAGCAGAGGATGTGGCTCCAGAGGAACATTCCCCACAGGAAAACAGCCTGGAATATCCAAGACCAGACCAAGTATCCCCCCCTGGACTCTAAATCAGGGGCCTAAAGACATCAGTTGTATCTGTGCAATGCTCTGGATGTGCTCCCCCAATAATTTAATATATTAATAATATAATTAATATTATATTATCAGCAGCAATTCAAAGCAGGTATTGGAGATTTAGAAAAAGAAAGATGATTCTAGAGGGGTTCCTGCCAACCTCTGCCCCATCCTAGGGATTCCATATCTGAATATCCATGTGGAAACAGGACAGGTAAAGATTAACACACCCAGATGGTGCTTAGGACACCTGCAAAATACCCGAGGGTTCTAAAGGAAGTTATTCCCAGAAAAGAATCAGAGAGTGCTGCTCTCTGAACATATAAACAGCTGATTTATAGCCTGGTGCCTTACAACTGTCTTCAACACAAGCCTGGAATAAACTGCTACAACAGATCCCTTTGGGAAAAGGGAACTGAAATTCCTGTATTTCACCTGAATGGTCTCTCTCACAATGTGTTCCTTCAGAGCAGGAAATGTTTCTCAGGCACACGTGAACAGACTTGGCCTGTTTCAAATATATCTGCATGAAACACATGATCCTTCCTCAGCCAAACATCCTCCTTTCCACTCAACTCCTGTTCTTATTCCAGTCAGGAAAAAAAGTGGGGAAAACCAGTGCCCCAGCACTAAACACAGCACCTCTGATATTACACAGACACACTTCTGACTCCTCATTCTACCCCTGCACCTTGCCAGTTTGCACCAGTGCTTTAATTTAAGGTCACTCTTTTCACCCTGCCCTCCCTGGAGCTTCCCAGCAACACTTCCACTGCCTTTTCCATGCCCAGCTCTCTATTGTTGCTTAGAAATTCTTCAGGTTCAGTCATGCCAGAGAAATTGCTGCCACTCAAAGAAAGCTGAGGATATTTTAGGATGAGTCAGATGCCTGTTTACATTAAGATGAGTCTGGAGCTTCTATTCTGGGTAAAACTGACCACTTTAAAATCAACTTTTAATGATTTTTAGGCATTGCAGAGTCCTGTTGTGACTGGCTTGTCAGTGCAACCTGCCACAGAGATTTGCTGCCTGATTAATTCCTGTAAGGACTCGTTATTCCAAATGACACTTTTCACTGGTAAGCAGGGAAAGCATTCCTGATGAATAAGGAAAACTGGTTTAGTCAGGATTCTTGCCATTATTTCAGCCTTACTTGGACAGATATAAAAAAGAAAATCACTTCTTTGCACTCCTTCTCTGTTACATTAGATGTGCACAATAAACAAGACTTCTCAGCCCTCGTATTTATGAAAATAAATGCAAAAATCTAAAGAAGTTCAGAAGGGATGAGCTACTTCCCTCCCTACAGATCTAATCAATAAAATTAAACATATTCAAACATTAAAAAAAAAAATAAATCTAAGGACTGCCTTTCACACACTTTTCAGGTTATACATTTGAAGAACAAATTTTCCTAATGGTAAACTACAGAGAAACTGAGCATTACTTGGAGTATAGAAAGCACATTTTAATTTCAGCTTAAAGCAAATCACTAAAGGAAGCGAATATTTTACTAAAGCAAAGCTGTATGGATGCACAGTACAATCCCTGAGGGCATCAGACAAATGCTACCAAGCAAGAGTAACTGCTTTAATAAACTGCATTTTAAAGTTCAGGCAGAAACTACCCAGAGAAAACCTGCAGCAGTTGTTTCCCACTTGGAATCCTGACTCACTTCCCTGACTCCAGGGCACTGGAGTGTCATTTAAGACATCCCAGGATATCCAGGAAATCTGCTTGGGGCAGGAAGGTAATCAGAACATCCACATCCATCCCTCCCAGCAGCTGAAAGCTGGTAGGACACCCCAAGAGCCTAAAACCAGCTCTGGATTCCTACAGGCAGCCGAGGGGAACCCACCTTCCACAGAGATAACTGTGTTTAAATCTCTTTCTCTGAATTCCCAAACTAACACTCTCTCTTCATGCTGATTTCATGAAAAATCAGATTTTTTTTTTAAGAAGTCTGTATCTTTCAAAATACTTCTCTATTTGGGGAAAGTGCTCTTAAATTCTGTTCATTTATTGTCCTGTCCAAGTTATAATTTAGCATCCAACACAACCTGTGTGGGAGAGACAAAGGTGTTTAAAACTAATCAAAACAGCTGAGTCTACTAAAGCCTAAGGGGAAAAAGATGACTTTGGAATTAAATGCAGGAGAGAAAAGAAACTTTAGAGCCCTCAAATGACAGCTGCTTGACTCATGTGACATCATTAGGTTTTCATGTATGGTTCAGATAAGCTTAAAAATGGAAAATCATGGCAAGAGAACCCAAAGGAAGTCACCACATAGTAAATAGTGAAGCAATGCCTTCAGAGAGCTTATTTATATAATATATATATTTATATTCAGGGTATTGTTTATACAGACTGTTTTCCATATTAATGAGCACACAGATGTATTCAGATTTATATGTAAGGAAGCACAGCATCTACAATTTCCTTTGAAGGTAACAGAAAACAAGTTTTGAAACAACTTTATACTATGGAATGTCTGAATTGTGAAAGACTCTCTCTTAAGGTTCCTTGTGCATTTTCCATTTTTGGGACATTTTTTTTAGGAAGAGGCCTAAAAATGTCTCTTATCTGAACTCCATCAGATCATACTGAAGATCTTTTTCAGGCAAAGAAAAATAAAAAGAAAGATTCTTGAGGACAATTTACTCCTTTCCTGCAGACAGGGAAGCGCCATTCATTCCTCTCCCCCAAGAAAGATGGCAAAGAGGAAAAAAAAAAAAGTTTTTCTAGTGAAGTAACTACTCTAAACTTTGCTTTTGAAAACCCCAGCGTTGTTTCACAAAGTACTTCTCAGCACAAGACTGAAGTTATAAAGTTGCTCTTTCCAAAGGCAATTTCTAAGAGGAGGAATAATCACAGGAAAATTAGCAAGCTTAAAAATACTGATAATGAACCTAAAATACAGCTGCTTTAACCAGAAAACCCTCAATTATCAGACCTGAGTATTTACTGAAGGTAGTCATGTGTTTTCTACAATTTGAGCAGAATGTGGCTACTAGAATGGAAAGGTTTTTTTTAAGCAGTGAAGAAAAAAATCTGATTATCAGCACATAATTTTACATAGTGTTGGTACTAGAGTATTGGTATAAGCACAAGTAAACACAATTATGCAAGTATATATTAAAAAAGCATGTCAGAAACAAAACACAAAAATTAATAATAAGAATAATGATAAGCAAACAAAAACCCCCAATAAATAAAAGCCTAACTCATTCTCCTCCTGAAAAAAAAAAACAAACAAACAAAAAAACCAACCAAACAAAACTAAAACAATCCCCCCAAAGTAAATCATAAATCATCATATTTTAAGGAGCACATGCAAAACCATGTATATCACCTTTAGATCTCACTCCCCTTTTGCATACAATGCTCCACATCACAATTTGCAGATAATCTGCTAAATTTGGGGCGCACAGAAAAGCAAAGAATTTATTTTCTGGGCGCCGAGAACTGAACGAAATCAGCCCTGTTTTGAGGGTAAAAAAAAAAAAGCAATGAACAAGGAACATCCAACTTCTAACCCAAATGAAGGCCACTAGTAATTCCTAGTGCATTTTACCCCTGCATCCCAGTTAAAACTCAGGTGGACGAACACGGATATAGAGAATTTTAGCAATACCATCTTTCTCATGAACGGCGCTTCTCTGTGTAAGAAAAGCTCGACTGTGGGATCAACATCTACTCACATGAAAAATTGGGAACCATTGGTATGTTTCCCTCGGTTTGCCATTGACAAAAGGAACGCTCTGTCATGTTTGAGAATAAAGTTTTCATCTGTTTGAAGAAAAAATATGTTTGTCAGATTTTTTTTTTCCCCTGACAAGGCAGGCGGGTTTTTGTTTTTTTTTTTCTTAGTAACTTATGGATGCTACGAGGAGAAATTCTGCTGCTGCTGGAGAAACGTGAACAGGGTGGGGGGAAAAAACAAGTTTAAATAAGTCTCTTAAAAGTTACAGTTGAGACAAAGCAGAAAAGTTTCAGATATAGTGCAAACATTTCTAATGAAAATAATTAAAGTCGTTATTAGTGCCTTCAATTAACATTAGATTCTTACAGATTTGGATTTTAATCCAGTCTTATTTGGATAAGAACAAAGTTGGCAGAATTACTAACATTCTAAAACAAGACTTAACATACACGATATTGTTATTTATTTTCCAGCTGGAAAGACCAGGAGAAAAAGCCATTTATTTATTTTCCTGGCATGGCACTTAAAGATGCCAGCTATCCTTTCAAAACTGGAAGGCTCAAAACATACAAGGGAAAAAAACCCCACCTAAATATCTGAATCTAAGTATAAAACCAATTAAGACTAAACTAAACATGCATTTTATATTCCAGTGAATTAAAGAGGAGCTCTGGTTGCACAGCATAATAATATAAAACCTTCTGAAGGTCATTTTCAGAAGTAAAAATAGTAATTTGAGTGTACAAAGCTGCAGCTTTTTAGATTATATATCAAAACTCAATCCTGCATATTCAGCACTCACCATGTTGAGAAACAAACCTTGAGTAACTTCTTAATTTATGGATCTATTAAAGACTTCCCTTGACTAAAGATTTTAATACTCCAACATCAAACTAGGTCTCTTTTTAAAGAGAAACTTCATGCACAACCAGGCAGAGCTACTTGCAACACATACAGAACAAATACATCCAGTGTCTTAATATTTGAACACCACAGTAGCCACCTGTTTTTTCAGAAACAATTGTCTGTCTTTTAAACAAATACTTCATAAACTCACCATTTTCCTTCCAACAGATTTTTAAAAGAGGTAAATTTAATTTATTTACAAATTCTTTGCAAAGAAAATAACTCGTGTAGCTTGTAAATAACACTTTAGAAATGAACACTAAGCATACAAACCTTGAGGAGGGGAAGGGGAGGAAAAGGGACATTAAAAAAAAAAAAAAAAGAAGAAATAACTGTTTAGAGCTGGAAATTATGGCAGGATTCTCTCTCAGAATAAGTCATTAACCCTCAGAAAGGTTAGACACAGAACTCTTCATTTCTCCAAGCAACACAGATATCCATCTACAAAGGGATGTATCAGTTGTCTATATATTTACTAGGGAGGGTACAAGGGAACAGAGTTTGAATTTGTGTTACTGAGCTTTTGTCTCTTACCTTTTCATTTTGCAAAAGACCACATTCTCTATAAACAAAAGAATATGTTGACAGTTTTAGGCAGGAAGATAGGAGTTTATTCATGAATAAAGTTGCCTAACCTCCATGCTGAAAGTCATGTTTAACCAATAATGTTAGCCTTAATTAATTGTCAGTTAAAGTTAAATATTAACAAAAAAAAATTATCTGAAAGTCATGCATATAAAAAAGAATTCTCATGCAACATTAGTTTCATGCAAAAGGTGATCTATGAGTAGACCTGTTTTCATTAAGTAGTTTGGGAATCAAGACTTGTTTATCTCAGAACTGAATAAAGAATCTGCAAAGATATATTTTCTCTTACCTTTGAAATAGCCACCATAAATAGATTCACCTCCTTTTCCATTACCTACACATCAGAAAGCATCAGTTAAAACTTTTATTTCATTTCTACAAAAGCTGTACATAACATTCCACCAGTATTTTACAAGGCACTGCTACTTCACTCAACACAGGAATATTCCTTCTCCACAACCATTTGATCAGGCACAAGATTTCAGGACACAGCAAAAAAAAAAGATTTTTGGTAAGGAGAGGGATTTCTGGGAAGGACAACAGGATAAAACATCCTGTTGTACACAGACTGCAGGGAAGGAAACAAAGAAACTCCTGGAAAATCTTCCTTCAGATACTTTTAAACACTTAAGAGTTTGCTCACTACTTAATTGTTAAACTTATTCCAACAGTTTTGTTCCTGTATCAGTGTTGCCTCTGCTGCAGACACAAGAGTGTAAAAGCACTTCCAGTTTGGATTTGAATGGTTTTAATAAGATAGAAAATGATAAAACCCTCCAGCAAGGATTTAACACATCAGTTGATGTGTCAAATGGCACAGTAACCAGTGGCACAATAAACCAATCTTGCATCAGTTGAAATATCTTCCGATTTCAAAAGTTAACAAATGGGTGATCTGGGCTGCACTTCACAGCAAAGGAAATATTTTTATGGCATTGCAATACTTGTCATGCCATTTTCTGAGGTTCTACACATTATAACCACATCAATTACAACGTTTCTGTTCCCTTTAAAAAACTCCCCAGTTTTCCAAGTGCTGTTTTTACCTTCGCTGAAGTCCCCCCCCTGAATCATGAAGTTTTTAACCACACGATGGAATGTGGTGCCTTTGTAGCAAAGCTTCTTTCCCGTTGTTTTGCCAATTCCTTTTTCACCTGCAGAGGAGGTTAAACAGAAAGAATCTACAGATTGTCACTGGACAAATTATTCCATGGCTTTTACCTTCCCAGTGCCCATGGATATGGGAGTCATCAAATAGCAAAGCTATGAAAGATAACACAGCCCTACCTGCTGCCTTTTCACCATCCATAAATATCAGAAAGGGACTCAGGTGAAAATTAAGTTGTTCCTTAAAAAAACGTCCTCCCTTTCCAAGGAAGAGTGTGTTAATCCACCCAGGATAATTTATAAGGAAACAAGAGTTCAGGATAATGATGGGTTAACTGTTTTCTGTGGTTGTAGCTGCACTCAGCTCACAGAGTCCTCTTCAGAGCACTTCCACATCTGGATGTGCCACATGATTCCCAGGAGAGAAATGTGAGCTCAGAACAGGCTTCAGCTCGGTTTCAATGTGATCCACACTTGGAAAAGTGGGATTGAGCTGCTCCAAGCATGTGTCACATCTTCACCAGTCCATGCACAGTGTCAGGCCACCCCTCAATGCCAGCTGGAGGTCAGGGGTGCTGGTGGTTTTTGAGGCAGGTGATCCCAGCACCTCAAGTTGCATTAACATTTCCTCCCAAATCCAGAAGGAAAACCACACTGGGCATGTGGATGGGGAGGTGTGGTAGGTTCATGAGGGATTTATACTGCTCCACTCAGGGAATGTCAAGAGACACTTTAGCTCCTGGGAAGAGGGGAGCTGGTAGAACATGGCAATTAAGAATATATACATTATGCCCTGTGCAACAGCTGAAATCCCATATAAACCACATGTACAGGAGTTATTTTGTAAGGAGACAGGATAAATAAACCAATATTCACTTTCATACCACCACTGGTTATGAAAGAGGCATTTGACAGTCAGTCAGAGGACATGCCCTCAGAAATGCAGGTACACTCCTTACCCAGAGACAACCCCACCCTTTACAAGCTATTATTCCTCCACCCCAAATTAACTGACAGCTCAAACATCCCAACTTTGCCCTTCCAAACAGCCCATCCCTGCCAGGATGAGGGCAAAGAGCAGTTTGTGGCACAAAAGCCATTCAGGGCACTGCTGTTTATGGGACTTACAGAAGTCTTCCCTCAAATACAAGTTCTTTTCCACACCCACCATCCGGGCCTCCTCCTACCCCAGTTTTATTTTCCACAGGAGTCAAGCAAGCAAAGCTATTTATTACAGGCATGGACACACCCCCTTTCACCCCAAAACATGCCCCTCTTTGCTACAGCATTAGGAACCCCACCTCAGTCAATCCCAAGGAAGATGTGCCCCCGGTTTTGGCCATGTTCCAGCACATCCCTCAGGCTGTGGATAATCCCCTTGGAGAATGGGATCCTACACGGCACTTAACCATGGAATTCAGCTGGGACACTGAGATGTGAGCTTTTAGACCACGGTTAGAAGTTTTAATCTCATTTTTTACCCTCCTTGACAGCACTGCCACGACTTTCCCAGGCAGGGAAAACACAGACCAGTTTGTTCCACTGGTTGGAGCTGCAGCACCTCCCCGAGCTCAGACACTTTTCCACAACAGCCAGGACAAAGCTCACGGGTTGGGCTTTTCTTTTCTGAATTTTTTTTGCCCTAAATGTGTTTGATTTTTGTTTGAAAGAGACAAAAATCTTTGAGCTCCATCTACTTGTAACCCCTCCTGCCTAAGCAGCTCTTTCCATGTGCTGCAAATCACTTGGAAGTGGGATGTGGAGGAGTCACCCAGGGATTGCAAGGGATAACCCCTGGGCAGGTGAGCTTTGCCAGGTGACATACACTGAATTAGGTGCTGAGTGATCTCCATTATACAGCTATTTAGCTCCTCAGGTAAGCCCGTGGCTGTGCTTTATACTTGTATAAACAAATAATAATTGCAAGTCACCATAAAAATTTGAAATATAAGCAAAGTTATTTACCTGAGCACAAGCAAAGGAAGTTTTTGCAAGTCTTCGGACAAATGTCTGAGAAGAGCTGAAACATAATTCGACCAACTAGAAAACAGTAATAAAAAAATAAAATTAAGAGTTTTATAACTCTTTGGAATAATAGGGGAAAGTCTCCATATAAATAAATCAGCATTTGTGAAAGTATCATTTTCTGAGAAAAAGTTGTTTCATTAAGCAGAATAAGAAAGCATCTTAAATATGCAAATATTAAAATAAGCTGCAAGGAAGAACAATAACAACTGTAAAAAATTAAGTAATATCATTACAGTTAATTTATTAACAATTCTAATGACCCCATTTTGATTTGAACCTGGAAAGCCAAACTGACTTACTGAAATAGTTTATCATGTCAGATCTGTTTTGAGAAAGATTTGCCATAAACACAAGTCCTCAGAGAGCTGGAGGAATTCCCTCCCCAATTACCATGTTTATACAAATGCATTAATAATCACATTTCCACAGTTTTCCCTGGGATCATGACCTAAAAAGTCCAATTTAGTTTCATACCATGTTAAGGATTACAGATGCATTGGCACTTTTGGCCTAAAATCCTTTAGTTAAAAAAAAAAAAATAAAATAAAACAATAAAACAACAACCAGATAAACCAAATAGGAAAGATGGAAGGCAGGCAGGACTAATTGCCAGATACTATTAACTAAATATTACTTTCTCCTTTTGTTATCTACCTTCTAAAACTACATTAAATCATTTTTCAGCCGTATTTTAATAAAGAAAAGTATTTTAAAACTGATTCATATTTTCTATTCCATTTTCCAAGATACTGAGATGCAGAGTACCAAAAAAACAAAACAAAACAAAAAAAAACCAAACCCAAACCATTCCCAAATATATGAAATCTTTAGAAAATACATAATTAGCACAGAAAAAGTTGTATCTACAGGTTGTGAAATAAAACCATAGAAGCCACACTGTTGGCCAGCATTACAAGAAGACCAGTAACAATCTATCAATGAGCACTACACTCTAGTGGTGCACACTGGTAAGACTTCAAGGATCATTTTAAAAAGTAACTACTCCAGGAATAACTTCTCTTTTCTTCCCTTTAAAGAAAAAAAAAAACAAACAAACCTGAAGTTGAAATGTATTTCATTTAATGCCAAAAAAAATAATTAAGAGGCTCCCAAGAAACTGCATTCAAGTTTAAGGCTTTGTCCAAATATATACAATTATAACAAGGTGAACTGTTGGCTCAAAAAGGAAGGAATGAAATAACACCACCTGAATTTTGTACTCTTAGGTAAAAATTCCAGATGCCTTCAGCTGTTGAAATGTCTGTGTCTCATTAAGTGCAGAAAGAATGTTCTCTAAGCATTCATCATTACAGCAGGAAAATCTAAAGGAAATGGGCAGGGAGAGTGTCCAAAGAATGAAGAAATAGGGAATATTCGTGGATCTCACATCAAACAGCAGCTCTGTAACTACCATTATGAAAAGGGAGTTATTTGGAGGTAAAGAAACCATTATAAGCTGTGAGGATTGAAGATCCATACAAAGAACACAATGGAGGAGACACTTCAGCAGAAAAGTTACCCATTTCCATTAGAGCCCAGGAATCCAGGAGAACAGAAGTCCCATTCCCATTCTTCTGCTGGAAAAGTGCTGAACTGAAGCAAGTGCTTTAGAAAGCCATGGACAGATCTCATAGAATCATAGAATAGAATCTCAGACTGGTTTGGGTTGGAAGGGAACTTAAAGATCATCTTGTTCCACCCCCTGGCAAGGGCAGGGAAACCTTTCACTCTTCCAGGCTGCTCCAAACTCCATCCAACCTGGCCTTGGACACTTCCAGGGATGGGGCAGCCCCAGCTTCTCTGGGCAACCTGTGGCAGGGCCTCCCCACCCTCATAGCCAAGAATTTCTTTCCAATATCCAATCTAAACCTGCCCTCCTTCAGCTTAAAGCCATTCCCCTTTGTCCTGTCCCTCCATCCCTTCTCCCAAGTCCCTCTCCAGCTCTCTTGGAGCCCCTTTGGACACTGGAAGGGGCTCTCAAGTCTCCCTGGAGTCTTCTCTTCTCCAGGTGAACACTCCCAGCTCTCCCAGCCTGCCCCAGAGGAGAAGATCCCTCCTGCATTCACTGTGTGAAATAACACATGATCTTTTCCAGGGAAGAAGTTGCCACTATCCCCATTCTCCTCAGAGAAGAGAAATAGAGCCCAGCTGCTGATTCCAAGGTTCCAGCTGCTGATTCCAAGGTGCCAGCTGTCAAATAACTGGGAGGTGTCAGTGCCTGCAGGCTCCAGAAGGGACTTTTAGCCTTAGGCATAAATTGTAGGATTCTGGTTGCAAGTCCTACTTATAATTCCATCATATTTAGCACTTTAAGCAGCAGACACCACTTCTTTATTTCTGGTGGAAGAACATTACCTTAAGTTCTTGAAGATGACAGCAGAAGATGGGAAAAGGCACATTCACAACTAAGGCATCAAGACTTGAACATGTCTTTCCCTAAAGCTTTGTCAGTAACAAGGTGCTCGTAGAACCATGGAATGATTTGGGCTGGAAGGGACCTTAAAGATCATCCACTTCCATGGGCAGGGACACCTTCCATCAGACCAAGCTGCTCAGAGCCCCATCCAGCCCGGCCTTCTCACCCCTTTCAACTCCTACAAGCTGTAACACACATTTCCAACACCCAGAGGTTACAGATCCAGACTAAAAGAGGACTTTCTCCTCCATAGAACCTGAAGTACTGCTTACCCAGTTCTATCCAACAGCACAAAACGCTGCTGCCTCCTCATCCAAGAGAAACCCCACGCTGTGTATCCATCTGCTGGGTTACTGGCTGTGTTTTACTCCAGCTCCATGAATACCATTATCACTGGAAGGTTATATGTTCCCCTGACAAACAGGCAATTAAATGTGTCAGGAAAGATCAAACACATTTTCACACCTTGGTCAAAGATGCAGGAAATAACAGCCGTTAATAAAAAGATTAATGAAAATATGCACGATTAGA